CGGAAGCTACGATAAACTAACCGCAGAGAATTAGAGACAAGATTGTATTAGGTTGTCCGGAAAGTTCGTTTCGTAAACTGACGTACCTGTATTTCTAATTGAGATAGCGACAAAAACCGAAAGGTATTTTACTCGTTATTTGAAAACGAACCCAACGCACTCCTCAAATTATTTGTAGTATCGTAATTTTGGGAAAGAATAGTTTTAAGCAAATGTGGCGAGAGAGAAAGCGGGCGACGAGCGACGATAGCCAGGCCCAACGGGAAAAACCGCGACGCCAAAGGCCCACGAAGGGCCTGGCTATTAGGGCTTTTATCCGGGTATCTGAGATACCCATGCTGTATTTCTAATTGAGATAGCGACAAAAACCGAAAGGTATTTTACTCGTTATTTGAAAACGAATCCAACGCATTCCTCAAATTATTTGTAGTATCGTAATTTTGGGAAAGAATAGTTTTAAGCAAATGTGGCGAGAGAGAAAGCGGGCGACGAGCGACGATAGCCAGGCCCAACGGGAAAAACCGCGACGCCAAAGGCCCACGAAGGGCCTGGCTATTAGGGCTTTTATCCGGGTATCTGAGATACCCATGAGATACCTGCGTAGATGAAAAAACACGATCGACCCGGGTATCTCACGAGTACTCGAATATGTATATAAAACAGTCGAAATCTCGGTGGCCACTACAGCTGGTGGTTCCCGGGCAAACAAATGCGGATCGGTCGCGACAGCGATGCAACGATGCCGACATGTCAAAGTGTACCTGTACCCTACATAATATCGTTTTGAAACCTCTGCCGAAACAGTCGAGGAATAATAGATATCTACTCTCAGCTGTCTCATCTCATGAGATACCCGGGTACCCGCGAGGGAGGGACAATTAACAAAGTAAACGATTGTATTTTCTGGACCAATCGTACGCCGACCATACACTTACACTTTAATAAATTGAGGTGAAGACAGGGTAACGACGTTCCTCACCCACCTCAAACTGAATATTTCGGTATTTCGTTGCCACGAAAAATTCAACATCCTCGCTCCAATGCAGAGAACATAGTTCGACTTATATCAGATTGTATTTTCTGGACCAATCGTACGCCGACCATACACTTACACTTTAATAAATTGAGGTGAAAACAGGGTAACGACGTTCCTCACCCACCTCAAACTGAATATTTCGGTATTTCGTTGCCACGAAAAATTCAACATAGTTCGACTTATATCAATCCCTGTTCATCTTACAAAGAATTTGAGCAGTACGTTGGATTCACCTTTAACTGTCGAGGAAAGTACCATTTAAATGTTGTTACTACGTCAATTAGAAACAGAGATCCGATGGCTTAAATTACGAAAGGAACTTTCCGGACAACCTAATATATTTAATGTGTACCTCTGGTTCCTTATTAATTTCTTCTTTAAACTTCGCGATAACGTGGAACAAAGTAGACCCAAGTTCGAGCAAATTAACTTTCCACAGTGAGACTTTTTTATTCGAGACCAGAGACTCGCAGAAGCAATTTACATTTGTTCCGCTCGAAAGTAGCTTGTTGAGAGATTTTGTATCGTTCCGCTGGTTGCGCGTAACTTGCTCATCGTTGTGCAATATTCTATCTTCTTATCAGCGTTCAACAGTTCCGCCCATGGTGTTCGAAGGAAGGAAAATAGAAGAATCGACGCGAGATACGGAGTTGATATTTACGATCTCCATGGCGCCACGTGTTCGAGAGCAGTATATCAGGGGAACGCAGGACACAGTTACAACCACATTTCGCATAATTCTCCGGCTCCGCATAATGATACGTAGGTTCTCTTACGTCACGACAGCGTTACGAGACGCTGTTATCACCCGTTCAGCTTTTACGACCGACGTATTTTCTCCCTGGGATCGGTTATTGATCGTGAAAAAAAAAACAGGAAAATTTCGATCGTAAAAAAGAGCTGTTCGAGTAAAGTATACCAGCGTGACAGTCTAATGGAGGTATTAAAACGGTTATCGAACCGTTTGATGCGTACTTTCTAATTTTAAGACACGTTGTTTACCTCAACCGAAGACTCTTCTATCGGAAAGAGGTTCGTTTTCGTGTCATTCTTTCTTTCTCGTCAGAGTTCAAGATATTCCAGAGAAAGTACGACTCTCTTTTATTTCTACGTAACACACCTGAAAACGGACGTAGCTGAGAAAAGAAGAAAGTTCGCGTCTCAGGGTCTCGCGAGTGAAACGACACTCGCACGCACCTTACACGAGGGTAACCTCGCGAGTCAAAGTGAACGCAATTAAAAAACTTCGTGCCATTGAAACGTTCGTTACGCGTGTTGAGCTTTTCCACGCTGTTCCAGAGGCTCGCCGCGTTACCCATGCTTATCGTTTCCCCCTGGCGTTTACTTTTTTTCCTTATTGAGATTCCCTCTAATAGAACAGTTTGCTTCCGTGCAATTTCAATCCCGAGTGTTGTTACCGTACTTCGGTAAAAGGTTCGCGGAAACCACGGGATCCTTGCGGATGAAGTGATTACTTCAACGAGGAGAACGCGAGATAGGTGTGAAAAAATTAGACGAAGTTACAGTAGGAAGTATCTTTTCATAGGAAATTACGCGTAATTCTGTCCTTCGATTTTTCACGGATGAAAAATTTCACGTGGCGAGAAGAGAAAAATGGAACACAAATTGCAGGCAAAATAGTGGGAACGAAAAAATGGTATATAGTAAATGTCAGATTTCTAATCAGTCGCAAATTGGTCGAGTAATCTCAGTTTTCTCGTGTTAATTTCAAGTTCGCACAATTCTTGGTAAACTACTGCAGGGGAATGTTCGTTCGAAGTTAAAGAACAATTTTCATCCCACTCTGAAAAACTCAACATTTCACGGAACACGATCCAATAAATACCATTTCGGAGAAAACAAACATCTACGTACCTGCAAAAAATTCCCATGTAATCTAACAGATATAAGATATAAGATAAAGATATAAGATAAAACGACAAAAAGTAGTTCCACAAAGTACCTCTCGAATAAAACGAATCACCTTACCAATACTGTCACATCTCCAAAGAACTCCGATTCAACCCGACTGTTCAAAATTTCCGAAC